AAACCCTCTGTAATTCTGCTGAGTCTTCATCTAAAAACAATGCACCCTTATTTCACGCACACACACACACTTTTAAATATACTAAGCTCTTTGGTTTTGCAAGCATTCACGTCACAATCTTCAACGAGCTCAGCAAAGCTCTTTCAGACATCAGGACAATTAACAATTTTCCACACATATCACCATTCTTTCAGCTCAGTTTTGAAGCATCATCCACGCAATACTTTCATCAACATTTTACACACTTCCCTGAACTTCGTCATCTCACACACACTTTTCTCTCAAAACAATGTTCACCTTTAATCATTCATTCCAAATGACAATTTTACCCTTCATTTATACATTCACACATTTATATATAACAAAAGACTGCCAGTAACTGCCAAGATAAATTATTTCCATTACCATATTCACATCTTCACTTCATCTTCCTCTAGTACTAGTCATCCTACCGTTTCGACTCATTTAAAAGCATCTAAGCCCAGGTTTGCCCACCTTGCTGGTCAATTGTAGCCGTTATCTGTCCGGGACAGTGGCCCGATTACTAAGTTCTATCTTAATCTATAAGCGCTTCCCGCAGCGTGACAAGAAGCTCCACCTCATGAACACCCAGCGTCCTGCTGGCGCCTGAAGCTTTCCGTAAAGCTTACATGTGAGCCACGTTTAAAATGGTCACACACAGGGGCCCCGCCCCTGTCGGTCAAACAGTGCAAGAAAAGTGGTGTTTGACCACTAGCTATTAACGAGCGTCCCCAGTGCTCGCAGTTGTCAACTGAATTAACCCTCTCGCCCAAGGACAATGTTCCACGTCCGGAACAGAGTGGAGGCATAACCCTCAGAACATTTTGCACCCCTAGGAAGTCCAACTTCCCGTCCTAAGTACTTTAAATAATTCTGGAAGCATCACTGTGGACTCTAACCGCCAGTTGACCAAATGTCCTAATCTAATTTCTTTTCTTGGCTGACGTAACACACACATAACACACCAACTTCAAACATACGTCACAACAACTTTCAACTTCACCCTAAAATTAATCACAATAAATTTGATCAAATATCCCCAAACTTTACCTGTATTTATTTCTAATTACCCAAAATTATCATGGACATGTCACCTGAAATCTACTTAACAGATTTTATAATTTAGTTTACTTCACCCGATGCCTACTGGTGGTGGTCAGAGGGCTCGGTTTCGCCAGTGTCCGGCAGCCTCGCCTCTGTCAGTGCGCCCCAGGGTGGCTGTGGCTACAACGTAGCTTGCCATCACCAGTGTGTGAATGTGTGTGTGAATGTGTGCGGATGACTGAACGTATAAAGCGCTTTGGGGTCCTTAGGGACTAGTTAAGCGCTATACAAATACAGGCCATTTACCATTTTTACCATATCGGACCAGCAAGCAGTGATGCTGAAACACTAGTTCATGCATGTGTTGGTTCTGTTGGACTTTGCAATGCATTATTATCAGCTTGTCTTAAAAACTCCTTCTTCAACTCTTCACTGGGTTAAAATCTTAGAGACCTCACAGCATCATTTTGTTCTAACAGAGCACGTCACTCTCATAGTTTCCAAAAGTCAAACTAGATTGAGAGTCTTCAGCTTTCAGGCTCTTCTTCTGTAGAATCAGTTGCCAGTTTAGATTCAGGAGACTGCATTTTTTCTACTTTTATGACTTTAAATGTTACTTTTTGATCAATCTTAATCAATCAATTAATCTTGCTGTGGGTCAAAGAGGCAGAGAAATAAATGAACATGATTGGCAGATATCTGTGAACGATTACGTCCATCAGCGTGGAAATGAATCTCCTTTGTCATTTCCCTTCAGCGCAAACAACAGTTCGTTTCTGTAGCTTTAAATGATATTCCGGCTCTTTCATCATCCGAGATGACTGCAGCAAAATTAAACACCTGTTGTTTTAATGCTGTTTCTGCCGCTGCTTTTATTTATCATTTCTTTATATATTTTCACAGAGGACCGGCTGGCTGTGTTTTATTCTGCAGCAGGTGAATCTACTCGTCGTCCTTTTGGGATTCACTCTGCTTCCAAACATGCTCGTATTTCTGCCAGAAATGAGTTTATACTCTGCTCGTATTATTGGAGCTTACAAATAAAGTGTTGTTGTAATCGAGTTTTTATTGGATTTTTGGTTTCTCTCGCATTCAGTAACTCACAGGTGGCACGCTTTAATAGCAAAGTGCGCATTAGCAGCTTCCAGATCTATTTCCTACCACAGGGCCACCGATCCTAATCCTGGTGGTTTGGGGGGAAACTGTTTGCTTTGCTGTTTTTGTTCTTGTTGTTCAGTAAATCTAAACTGGACCAGTTTGTCTTTTAAATTAATATTTCCTTTAAATTCAGATCACTATAAAAGCCTGGAGCGCAATAAAAGTCTCTCCTGAGCCCAGTGAGATTTTGAAGTGGCTACAGAACAAAATGAAGTCATGCAGACTTTTGCTTACTGTGCGTTACAGCGACATCCAAATACTAAAGAAACTAGTGAACAGAAGTTACTGAGACAAATCTGAACACTTTTCAAAGTTTCATAATCATTCACAGAAAAATAGACAAAATGAACCACATTAAAATATCTAACATTTTTAATATCTGAAACTTCTCCTAAAAAAAGAATCATTAGACAAAATTGAATTGAAGAAGAAATTTAAGACCTTTAAGTTTGCATCAAATGTCAGGAGGACACAGAGAACAATTCAGTAAAGACTAAACCATGATCATCATGAATTGATAATCATGATCATTAGAATTTATTATTGTGTGTGTGTGTTTATTGAACATGTAAATAGATGTTCAAACAGATAGAAATAATTTACATATTAATGTGCATATATGTGTAAATCCAGCATTTCTTTCTCTTTTTTTGCTGCTTATTTCTTAGAAATGGTTTCAGCGATTAATTTACTCTTTGGAGGAAGGCAAGAAATCACACTGATGATGTAGGAATCTCAAAAGCTCACAAAAAATTCATATAGCAAATATAATATTTTAGCCATTAACAGGTTGCAGAAAAATCAAAAAACTGCTTCTTTGTCTTTTGCTGTCACTGTCTACATACAAAATATTCACACTTACAAATATTCTCACTGAAGTTGCACTCTCAGCTGGTCATCGAGCATCTGCATCTGCAGAAGGAAATAAACTTATTTTTAGGAATAAAACTTACCACCTGTGAGCTGGATGAAATGTCTACATCAGCAGGCTGATCCTGGGCTCAGACGTTCACAGTGTCCTTCTCCGTGAAGTCTGCATGTTTCCCTGTGCTTGTGTGGAACTTCCAGTTTATCCTGGTTTAATGCTGTCTTATGTTTCCTAATTGGACAACTGAACGTGTCCAAACTATCAGGTTTGGCTCCATCAGTGTAGGATGGTGTGTTCGTCATTCAACGGAAAGGCCGGGAACAACATCAGCACTGATGGTAACACAGATGCTTACCTACTATAAAAAGCAACAGACGTTCATAATCACTGATGTGTTGGGATATTTGGGGGGTTTGTTCAGTGATTATGCAAAGTTACACTGTTGACTTTGCTGTAGAGAACTTTAATAATATGAACGTTCAGAGGCATCATAAATATTCAATGTTTGCAAAATGCAGCAGCTGGCACACAGAGCTGTAAATCAGCAATAAGCTAATGAAATTAGCAGTGTATTTGCAAAACTACTAAAGGAAGAATCTGAACTGAGACACAGGAAATACTTTGAATGCTAAGTTGAATTCCTCATGGAGGTTTATGATTAAATCACTGGCACGAACAAGAACAAGTCAAACAGCTCCAAGCAGACTTTAAATCAGGGTTCGGCTGCTAGCTGTTCAGTTTGGGATCATTATTTATCTCTCACTGCATCAATGCTGTTTATTCTGTCAACAGATTGATCCATTTTAGTTTATGTTTTAAACTTTTTATTCTTTTGTGTTCTTCTGCGTGACAATGTACAGGCCTGTAACTGGCTGACGGTGAACTTTCAGTGTGTGAGTGTTACTTGGTGAAGCAGGACTGTGCTGAAGCATTAGTCTGTTTTGGTTGTTTTTTCACTGACCCTGCTGATCTCAGAACAGGTGCTTCCACCTGCCCCACTTTCTCACTAATTGCATCAGCTGATTCCTCCAGCCTCACCTGCAGCTGCTTCACTTTTTAGCTGCCCCATAAATACAAACTTTACACATGACCTCGAGGTTGCACATATAGATCAGGATGAGTGTGTTGTTATAACTTTAATGTGTTAATATGCCTTTGTTTTGTATGATTTGGCACCCTCTTGTGGCCACAGTTGGTACTTGGGAAGTTTGTTATGTCCAGCTAATTTCCTACAAGTGCGCAGTGGAGGTGAAACTTTTGCCCACATGCCTGTAAGTTTCCATTACATATTATAACCTTAACTATCTGATCTGTGATGCATGTGTAATGTGAGCATATAGAGTTACTATTTGGCGAGCTCAGCTCACTCCCTGTGAGCCTGAGATCTGTGGACTCGGTGTTCTCTGTCACTAATCTTTTTAAACTTCCGTTACTTTTCCCGTGTTTCTTGCTTTGTCAGGACTAATCACAGCAAAGAGTTTGATGCTGTCTCTGTACCAACACAACAGCCTCCTTGACCTTTCTGACATCACTGGTCTGGCCTTGAATTTATTTTTAATGCAGGAACACTGTTTTGATCAGAAAATCATTTCTGTTGCTTTCTGCAGGAGGAGCTGGCATGACTTTTTTTTTTTTTTTACCATCACGCAGTGTAACTGTTTCTTTGAGGCTGCAGAGGGCGCTCTGCACAAAGAAAACATCTGAGCAATCAAAGTCCACACAGACTGTTTGCGTGGTGGCTTTAGTGTGTAGTAATCATCATCGTCTTAAATAAAAAATGAAGACTAAGATTACAAGAAAATCTGCTTAATGGAAGCAGATGTTTGAACAGCTGGATGAGTGTAAACAATTGTGCAAAGGAACGACCTGAAAATATACAAAGAACAGTGAAGCTCTTAAGTGCAGGTTGTGTTCATAAAGATCCACAAGTTTAAATATGATGCACATTTTATTGAAAAAGTTCATATTACAAAAGTAAAACTATATACACAGTGCTGGCTGTTAAATGGATAAAATCTGTTACATAGTGAGACAACTTTCAGAAGCGTTTTAAGCCAGAGGTTAAAGGACTGAAGCAGTTTGCTGGCTTACTTTGAGGAGGAAGTTCAGTCTGACATTCAGCGTGATGTTTAGTTCATTCTTGAGGAAAAACAAAAGGACAAAGCGACATTTCCTCCCAGTCACTGGTTCGCCTTCTGCCAGCCAAACCCTGAACAACAACAGGGTTTATTAGGTCCTGACAGAAGGAGGTCATCAGGTTACTGCCTGTGTCCGAGTTAAGAACAATGGAGATGCTGAAGTCTTCAGGTCCACTTTGGCTGTGTTTTCCCTGCACGTATTTTAAAACCTGACATCACAACGCACGGGTGAATTTTTGAAAAAATCAGATACTGTAGCACCAGTTGAACAAAATCTGAGCTGATCTTCAGTCTGTGCATCTGTCTAAACCCTGACCCCAAGCATAACGTCTATATTTTATCTTAAAAACTGCACATCAGCATGATGTTGTGTCCAATAGTGCAGCCTGTAGAGGAAGAATGTGAAGTGGAAACTGGTGACTGGTGAACTGGTGAAAACAAAAAGTCCTGAATCCACGTTCATTATAGGGTAGAGAGGACTGAGGCGAAGCTGCACCTATATATGATTTCAAATGTTGGAGGCTCTGTCTTCCTGCTCCTCTTGTCTGTAGTTTGTGGTTGTGTTTAGCATCAGAGAGGTAGTTTATTTCCTGAGTTACATTTCCTAGTATTGTTTTCTTTTAACATCCTGGCAGCTCATTATAGTTGTACTGTACAGAACTGGGAACTAGAATCATGGAGGTTGTCCCACCATATGATGATTTCATTAAAACAAAAAATGTAATATTTATTTCATGTAATTTCTCTGGTCTCTGGCAATGCTTTAAACATGCTTATAGGATAAATGTATTTTACTCTGATTAACGTGTTATCTTTGTGGTACTCTCTTCAGTCTGGTTTGTAAAATAAATAAGCTCATTTCCAGCCAGTGGGAGATGGTTAAGTGCACAAACTAGTCAAGCAGAGGAAAGGGAAGAGTGCTGCTGGCTGAGGGGAGTGTGAGGGCCGAGTGTATGTTAATTAAATCCATCACAGATCCACTGTGGTGTTATTTACTGTTGCACATGCCTGAATTATGTTTCTGTGACTGAATGCCTCTAAAATCCTCCACAAAAACAGACACCTGAAAAACACTGTCTGTTGCACAGTTGCCAGTCTGTTCCAGTCTTCAGTGAACACATGCTACAGTTATTGACAAAGTCCTGAGGGTGCGGAAGGCCCAGATCTCGCAGAGTTTTTGGCTGCGTTGCCAGCGGCTCCACCGTCCAGGCCCAGAGAGCGACGGTACGCCGCCGACAGCCGGTACAGGACGTCAGGCCGAGGGCCGGGGTGGGCATCGGCCTTCTGCGTCATCAGCATCTCGAACAGCGTGCTCACCTCAGATAGCAGAGCTCCGCCCAATGGGCCGTCCTTCTCTGGGGTTTTACCTGAGGAGAACACAAAGAGTCAGAAACTCCAGATTTCTGTTCGTCTTTTTATAAATCCCGCTTCTGGTTCAAGTGAACATGATCAACACGATCTTCAATGATAATCAACTATTATCTTTTTATTTTCAGGATAATATTTCAACTTGGGGGGAAAAAAAAAGAGTAAAATCAATTTAAATGCAAACTTTACCAAACGTGGAGAAGGATGAAGATTCCAGGCCATCCCGAGGAAGGGTCTCACTTTCGGGGGATGGAGGGCTGTTGGGGACAAACACGTTGTCATGGTAATCGCTGGTGAGTGGGAGGGAGAGTCTGGCCATCCAGGAAGGGTCACTGACCTCTGAGAAAACATCATCTGCAGAAAGAGAAGCGATAGCTTTGTCCTCAAACCATCTCAGGTTATTTATAGTGTAATATTATAATATATCTCACAGGTGAGGGCAGACATGAAGGATGCACAAGAAGAAGGAAATGACACAGTGGCTTTATCTGGCGGCTATAAACAAGTTTTTTTTTCTTCTTCCATCAGTTGCATCCTGCATGCTTGGACCGTATGCCGACGATCACGTCCACGCTGACACAAAACTCCTCCCGGCCCTGCCGGCTGCCTGGCAGGCGAGTCGATGTCAGAGGCGTAAATGTCGGGTGTGTCTCGGAGCTCTAACCTTGGTTTGTGTGTTTTCACTCAAACATTCAACATGATTACATGTCTGACTTCATTTATTCATCTACTGTAAATACACTGTCTGCTGGACAGAGTGTGAGGGGAAAACACAGAGATATACTCCTCATCCTGTTCCTCACCCTGACAACATCCTGTTGATGTTGTGCGCTTCCTGCTTGTGTTTTTATCAGATGTTGTTGTAAAAACCTGATTTCACACCAGCACTAATAAAGTTTTTGTTCACCCTAATTTAACGTAAAACATAAAAGATCTTTACAGCCAAAACCTGGATAAGCTCAAGTACGAGCAGGATTGTGGAAAACTTTGGCAGAGTGACGGGATGAGCAGAAACACCAGTTTATTTTCTCATTAACAGCATTTGTCAGTGCACATCTGGAGACCTGCTATAAGAAGCTGCTCATTTGTCATATTCCTGATGTTGGATAATGTGCCAGTCAATTCTATAAGAACATACATGTACTCCCGGACTGTATCTGCAGCCGTCGTGGACTAAAAAGCAGAAACTGTGAGAATCAGCCTGCGGACGAGCTTGGTCTCTTTCATCTAACCGCAACCAGATGGAGGATTAAATGTACCACCACAAACACACACTAGTGCTTACATGCAGAATGGTAAAGACCACCCCCAAATCACCCACCCACCGTCCACCCCCTTTCCTCTCTTTGTTTTAGGAGTATTTCACCACAGAGCACCCAAACTCAAAATCCTCAAAATTACTAAACGTGTCGAGTTTCAGATCATCTTCCTGTTTATCCAAGTGTTCTGCCTGTAATTTGAATCCATCTTTATACTTTATTTAATCTGAACAAGTCTTTCAGGGTTTCTCCTCCAATAGGAAGCTTTAAACACTGAGCTCTCGTCGAAAAACAGCGAGGCCTTCTTAGCCTGTATCTTCTTTACCTGTGAAACAGGAGTCAGCAGTGGAAGTAACAGGTCTCATAGAGACTCGTTTGTGTCCACATACACAAAGAAAAAAAATTGTTTTCTCTGTTTAACAGGCTAAAAAAGGCCGCAGGGGTTGATAGTTGAGACCAGAGACGTGCATGTCTCAGAATTTCACACTTCTTTTGTATTTTTTAAAATATGTTATGAATTAAATATCCATTACTTGGATAGACGTGCTGCAGCTGAAACTAGTTTTATAACCAAAGTTATTCTCCCCTACTGGCGCTGAATGCATTGCAAACACACAATATACTTCCTACTGTAATATATTACAATCTGTGCTGGATGTCATGAAGAATGTGCCAGTTTGTGTCAGTGGACACAAAAACTGCAAATCAAAAACTGTTTTTTACAACTGTTTTGTTTTTGCTGTGAGCTCCATAAACTCACAACAATGCTGGCCAGGATGCAAAAGCAGAGCGTTGTAAAATCCATGAACTCATAAATACCAAATACAAAGAAACCAAAGACTCAGGGGGGGAAAGCAGCTGTTCTAACAGAGACAGAAAACAGAGTCAATTCACAAGAGAGGTGGGTGAAACATGAGAGACTCAAGGTGGAGAAACCAATCACCGGAGCAGGAAGCCAAGCAGTGCCTGGCTCATTAGTCATTATATCATTTTGTTTATAATAACCAGAAGGTGCTTTTAACCCCTAAACAGGAGAGCCTAAAGGATCCAAAGGAAGCCAGTGTTTCCTTTGAATGTGTTTTAATATTAACCGGAGGAAGAAGAAAATCTACCTGATTGAAACTTCAATGAGCTGTGGGCCACTGTTGGTACTGTCATCTCATTGGAGGGACACTTCAGTGTTCAAGCAGTACAACAACAAACAATTTTCAGAAATCTTTGTGGGTGTTTTCTTGTTTGTTTGTTTGTTTAATTTCAAATATTGTATAACAAGACAAAACTACAAACGTGAATGCAGATTTTAACTGACTGACGCCTTTCATTGAACTACCAAATGAACACATTGGTCCTCTCTTTCTGTCCAAACACGTGGCAGCACTTCTGCTGTCATTCTGTTCATATTTAACAAAATAAAAGTGCAGACATAAATGTACACATTAGTTTTTAAATGTCTCACTGAACTAACACAGCCAATCCCTCAGCATGTTTGTATTCTCTGCTCATGTTGCCTTCATATTCAATCATTTTGGGCTTTTTAAAGAACTTATTTTAACATTTCACTCAAGAACAAACAAATCCTTCCCAACAAAAAAGTCACTTCAAGGGACAAATTGCATTATATTTCTTCATGGCAATATACGGGCCTCATCTAGGGGTGACGTGGACCGCAATTGGCCCCCGGGCCGCGCGTTTGAGACCCCTGCTATGGATAAACAAACATAAATTCTGTTCATCATTAAATTATTTTACACTAAAAATGACAATAAGAGCTTTCCTTTTCATATATATTTTCCTCTCAAAGTTATTGTCAGTCCTCAGAGTGGAAACTTTGATAAAGATTCTTTAGTTAAAGCACAGAAGCAGTATGCTCATCTACCATGAGTGCAACCAGTAACTACAAAATACAAGACAAACCAACATAAACGCACAGCTTCTCTCCCCTCAGCAGCCATAACATCATCCTCAGGTATGAACAAAGGGACGTGCATTTATCTGTGTGTGATTCATAAAGGTGCAGGTCAGGAAAAAGAGGAATGTGCTGCCCTGAAGCTTTCTTCAGAGCTGAGCTGTCTGCAGCACAGTGTGACTTACACTGATGATGGAGCCTGCGGGCTGAAAGGTGAGTCAAGCGCATACATAACTCAACAAACTCCCACTCGCTCTTTTGTTTCTCTCCCGCGCTCTCGTCCTATCATAAAGTGACGCTCGTTCTTCCATCATCAGGCGGTAACCCCCTCTGCTCACCTCCAAGCTGTGACCACCACAATGCCAGGAAGAAACTTTTTAACACACCTACGGTACACACTCAGACACTGGATGAAGCGAGTGTTGGCTTTCATACCGCTGAGGAATTCCCAAGATGTTAGATAAACTTTGGACAATCGACATTTCTTATCCCTCAATCATTACTGCGTTTTCCAAACACGAAGTAATGAAACCAGCTGTTTGTTTACGGGGGAAACAACTGTCTCCTTACGGCAGAAGAATGTAAAAAAGAGTGTATCAGAGATTCAATCTCAAAACACAGCAAGACGTCCTGAGTGGAGTGTGTGTGGGTGGATGTGGATGTAACTTGCCACTGTGTTATTTCCTGCTTTCATCCTGTTTTCTACAGTTGTCTTTGACTGTCCATTGTGAGTGATCAGTCTGTGTGTGTGCTGCAGGGTTAAAGTTTGGCTGCTTTTATCCGACAAATCAAAGAGCTTCACCGGGAGGTTCCAGCTAAATTCACCAGTTTAGTTTCAGTAGATCTTTAAATAGACTAACCATCAGTCAAACAAACCTGAACATCAAATAACCTTCACACAGAGTCAGGACACACTGTTTTATTTTATGGACCTCTATGGTGGGAGGATGCAAACAATGCTTACAGCTACTCATGCTAAACTAAAGAAATCAGCTAAAAAAGAACAAGAATGAGCTTTTGTGGTCAAAAAACCTGGAACCTGAGTTCATTACTAAAAATATCTACAAGTGCTGAAGAGTTAAACATCATTATTTTACTGCAGTTGAGTCGGTGAGGGTTAGCTGGTTGCTTTTGCTTGGACGTCTGTTCATTTCCATGCTACGTGGAAATCTGATTAAGAGTTCTGATGATCCTTTAACATGTGCTTTCCCATTCAGTGGTGATGACGATATCATTGATTTAAGATAGGATTTCACTTCCAATTTCCAAGAATTGTTGCTAACCTCGGGTGTCTGTCAGATGTCGTGTGCTTACCAGGATTGTTGAGGAGGTTGCTGAGTCCTTCCTCCAGCTGTGGGTCTATCGGTGAGTCTCTTCCTGGTTCCCAGTCCACATCTCCAGCCTCGCTCTCGCCATGTCCACTGTCTTTGGTGCTCTGCCAGTCAGAACAGTCCTGACCTCCATACCTGCAGACAAACGTGAACTTGACTCACAAACTCTCCGTTCATGTATCTGTTTAACTTTGGGCAGTGTGTCTGTTTAAGCTGATAGTTTGATGTCACAGAGTTCTTGATAGAAACGTTTCAACTATTAAAGATATGTTTTTTTTAATCTAAAATTGTAATGGGAGCATTCACTTTATACAAACAAGTAGTTGGGTATGCAGTCCAAACTCATTTAAGAACAGAATCTGCCCAATTTACCTTTTCTCTGGTTTGGTTGTTTATTTTTAAAAATAAAACAATTCTTAATGCTTAATAAGAGCCAGAACATGAAATATAAACATATAAAATCTTTGGTGATGAGTCTATAAATTAGGGATGATTAGATGTCCCCAGCTCACAGTAACAGTAAGGCTCATGCTGAGTTGGCAGGAGCACGGCCATGCAAGGCTTAAAAACAAACATCCAATTCAATCTTCAAACTCAGTGAGAGGCATCGCAAACATAATGTGGTTAAAACACTTTAAAGCCAGCAGCACTGTTTTATATCAGTTACAGTCTGACTGCTAATTAAAGTCACATCCAAGCAGCACTGCTCTGCTTTGAGTCCACATGATGTTTGGATGCAAACTATAATGTGATATTTAGGATTCTCATATGTCAGTATCATTTCCTAAATGTTGCCAATACAAAGTTTGACCTTATTTGACCTTGAGGGAAAGTTCAGAGGTTAGTGTAACGTGATATTTAGAATTCCCATATATCATTCCTTATATGGCCATAGCTCTATATAGCATTACTATCAGTCTGACCTTCAGATCAATCTATGTGATAGAGAGGTCAGAGGTCAAATGTGACATTATAATATAAATCTGTACTTTCTATTTGTTGACGTCATGAATCATGGTTAAGTTCTAAGACATTCTTTTCCCACCAATAAATCATGAAGTTGACCTTGAGGTGGATGGATGTCAAATTTTAATGATTGTTTAGGTGACCTCACTCTACAGCCCTACAGAGTTTATCAAAATTCACTCCAAACTTTTTCAGTTATCGTGTTTATGACACTCTAACGCTACCAAAAACAGAACCTGCTTAGTGGAGGTAATGAGCTGAGTGCTGACTGCAAGCTGTCAGCCACAGGTGACCTCACCCTGCGAGTGTCAGAGCTGTGTAGGAAGCAGAAATCAGAAATCTTTGGGAGACAAATGGACAAGTTTGAAAATGTTGCTAGGCGTTAGAATGAGTTTTTGATATCCAGTTAAAAACATATATTCCTTAAAACACAGTGAGTCACAGGAGACAGAACTCCAGAGTACAGCTGAGGTCTGATGTTTTCAAGGGTTTTAAAAAGGTGATAAAATTCCTGAGGTTTCAGGTGACAAGTCCTTTGGTAAGCACATCTCATCAGAGCAGCAGGCTCGGGCAGGAACCAGCGCACACATAAAGGTGAGCTCACACACAGGAGTTATGCACACTCAGGTGTGTTTTGTGAGTGCGATGAAACAGTGCACCATGTGTATCAGGGTGATGTCAGATCTTATCTGAGTGCAACAGTGATGCTGAAGTCCTGCTTCCTGTCAGAGCCTCTGAATCACTCTGCTGCAGTCTGCTCTGGCGCACACGCTGCGGGGTTATGAGACACTCTTCCTGCGACACTGACTTTGTGTCCTGTTTTTCTGTTGCTGTTATTTCAGTCACAGCAGGTCAGTCGGTCAGAAACACCAGGGAAGACATTTGTCAGCTGCAGCTTTCACGACTTTAAGCAAAAGCAAAAGTTCCAGCTGAACAGTGTGGCGTTACTGTCACTGCTATGAAGGCACAGATGCTGGAATAATGCACTAACCACATTGAGTCAGGAGCTGCCCAAATTCCCAAGTGCATTTTATTTATATGAAAGCCAGGAGCGTCCCTCACGGCAGCCACTTTGCTAGACATTGAAACACTAAACTGAGGTGAAAAATCTTCTTTAGTCTAAATCAGGTTGAAGAGATGTATTTTCACTTTTCCATTAAAGAGAGTATTTGAACACAGACAATGCTTAATACGCATTTCATGGTGTTGAAGTAATTTTGTTAGGCTACCTACAAAGATCTGAATTCATTTTAAACTTTTCAAGTTAGATTTAGCTCAGGTGTTTGGTGCACAAAGTAGCACAGCCATAAAATACTCAGCGTGGTGATCTCTAACCCTCACCACTGTGTTTCACTTAATAAAACCACAGAACAACAACACGTGTTTGTACGTGGATCAGATTGATCATTATAACATATGCAGGTTCTTAAATTTGGTGGGACCCCGCCCCTCATATTTCTGCAATCAGAAGAAGACTGCATCAGAGCGCGCAACAGCAATCACAGTCTGAAGCCAGCAGCCATCTGGCTCTTAAACAACCCTCTGATTAAAGGAAAAATGAGTTCTGGATCTACATCAGGATCTTTCCTTCAGGATATCAGTCTGTGTTTTTTAAGTCAGTGTGCAAGTACAGTTCCTATCAGGGCAGCAGGAAGAGACTCGTGGTGACCTATGTTAGTGTCCGGCCACATTTTTAGCTAGAACAACAAATATTGAAGCCTTAAAGGATGAAATAAAGACACTTTGAAGAAGACAGTGTGCCTGGCATGTCCACTGTGCAGTCACTTCTACTAGAAAACATTACTCATGTTTGAATTTAAATCATGAGCTGAATAGACTACAAAGAGTTAAAACTAAAAACATGCTGGCATCTGATCAGAGTTAAAACTCTTCGGGAGGTGTGTGTGTGTGTGGAATGTGTGTGTGGGGGGGGGGGGGGGGGGGGGGGGGGAGGACTGAGTCTTATTTGCTTCTTTTTGATGAAATGATGACCAAATAAACACGAATACCTCATTCGGTCTGAGCACTCTGTGTCACCTTAAAGAGTGGATTCTTCACTAATCTTTCCAGCTGATTGACCCTTTTTTTTTTTAATCACACTTCAGCACTTCAGTTCGTTCCCATTTTTAAGGCTCCAGAAGTTTAAAAGCAGTTTAAATTCATATAGATACAGAATGTGAATGTATTTCTATTTGGAGCAAATTTTGAGTATAACGTGGTTTTGTGCCAGATAGAAGCAGGTGACCTTGCTTTGATTTGCTGTGTCTGTACTCCAGAGGAGGATGGAGAGGAGAAGTCAGACTGACCTGCCATTGCGGTGAGAGTATTTGTTTCCACGGAAGTTCGGTCTGGGCTGCAGCTGACCCTGATGGAGGAGAGAGAGGAGCTGGGAGATCTGCTGTAAGGAGGAAAAGATGGAGGGAGAGGAGAGATGAAGGTGAGAAACAAGAGGAGAAAAAAAGGGTTAAACGCACATTTTCAGACATCACTGAAACATTTCAGTTTATCCAGCTTCACCTGAGGTTCACCTGACAGCAAACCAGAGTTACTCCTTCACAGTGAGTACTTTTACCAGAAGTCAGGCATTGGCCGCATGATATTTCAATACACACAAGCTGCACACATATTTGTGCAGGGTCAGACATTAATATTATATATATATATATCTCAGAAAGCTGGTAGGTTATTCATCGGGCCTGTTTGGAAGAGCGGGGTGTAATTTGGTTTCTACAGGTAGATGAAACATGTTTGGAGGTGTAGAACCTCAAAACCTCTAAATCAGCGGTCCCCAACCCCCGGGCCACGGACCGGTACCGGTCCGTGAGTCATTTGGTGCCAGGCCGCGAGAGTTGAGGCTCAGGTGTGAAATGTATGGTTTTCAGGGGTTTTTATCGGTTTTCAGCGTTATTTTGTTATTGTTTTTATCGTTAACTCGGTTTTCCTGGGCCTTTTCACGTGTGTTATGAATAAATCTTCTTTTTTTCGGTACCGGTACTAGTTTTATTTAGTTGTATTTATCCGCGACACCTTAAAGGCCGGTCCGGGAAAATATTGGCGGGCATAAACTGGTCCGTGGCGCAAAAAAGGTTGGGGACCGCTGCTCTAAATCACCACCCAAGCAAAGCAGTTTCATGGGCAGAAGTCAGCAGGCCAGTGCGGTTATTTTTAATTTATTTTAATTTGCTAAAAAGCCATTTCATTGATATTTTTATTTGGTCACACGTGATGATCCCTCCCACTCTGCGTTTTCTTTATTTTCTTCCTGGTTTTGTGTAGGAGGTAGACAGAGTGGAGCCACTGAGCTGATTGCTACATAAGCTGGTTTTCATGCATTAAATCTCTTTCTGTCTGCTTTGGCTCACTCTGATTGATTTTTATTTTTTTCAAACATTCGAGCTCATCTGCAGTCACAGCCACACACAGCAAGTTTGTGGTTTATGGCATTCTTGAAGCTGTTTTTTGTTGCACATTTACTGACCACAGAGTTAAAAATCAGTGCCTAACGAGTGATAACAGACCCTGTTCACTGCAGGCATTTTGAACTGATTAACACTCAGAGACCCATGACAGTGAATAAGCATCCACAGAGGATCTCCTGAGCTTTGTTCCTGCTGAAGGTCCACTGAATAATATCACTCCTAAAGTGAAAACATTTTGTTTGCAAATCAAATCGATATGATTCACAAATTTTCTACAGACTGTGATGATTCATGTCCAGCTTTTATATCCAGCTGGACAAAAGTTTCAAAGGTGAGTTGGTAACAGCTCTGTAACTGAGGGGAAAGGAACATGTGCGTGTGGGATTATTTAATAAGTCGCTGTATCTCCATCACATGCAAAACATCATTTTAAGTAAAAGGTTTTTCTTTTGCTTTCAGAGTTGCAGCAGCTCATGTTTAAAGGATTAAACTGAAGCTCCAGTGTTTTTACTCTTCAGTAGTTTAAAAGTAAATGTATGAACAGCTGAACTTTGAAAGAAGTCAATAATAAATCAATGTAACTGCCTTGTTAAGGTGAGTGGGTTTCTCTGCTGGTTGAACAAAAAGTGCACGTGATACGAGCGACATAAGGAAATTAATTCGTGCTCTTTGTGATTTTTGTTTTAGTGTTGCAGTGTGAGAACCGAGCGGCCGAGTCCGTCTCACTGCTCTGAGCTTTCTGCTGACAACTCTGTTATACAGCGGATACACACTGCACACCAGGGAGGAAGCACACACACATGTACAAGGTGAATAATGTGTGTGTGTGCATGCATGCTAATTTATGACTTTGTTTTAGCCGTGACATTTGTGTGTTTTTTCACGTGCACTCTGCTACAGTGACAGGAAATGGTCTCTACGTAAAAGCCTATTCTTCTCTGGCTGGTTTCCTTCCAGGACGAACTCCAAAGTATGCACAGTGATGATCATTTGTGTGTGTGTTTGTGTGCGTGCGTGTGTGTGTGCGCGCGCGTATGCGTGTGTGTGTGCGTCTGTGTCTGTCTGTCTGTGTCTTTGTGAGGTGGAGGTGAACAGTAAATCCCCCTCCTCCAAGGCGTCGAGCAGGCCTCTTCCTCTGTGACCTCGAGGTGGGAGAGAAATATCTGAAGTCCAAGGAGTGCCAACTGGGCCGGCTGGGAGGGTTAAGGAAAGGAACTGGGCAGAACCCAAAAAGGCCTCTTCCCGTTTCTAATGGGATTCACGTGAGGATGTCGGGCCCGGCCAAGGTCTTTGTTCTCTGTCTGCAGGGCGTTGGCAGCGACTTTTTCCCTCAATAATGCAGATCTGTTTTAACAGTGCAGCATTTCCACAGCTGAAAGTTAAATTCACCATGACTATGACGCTTGTAAAGCATTTCTAAAATATAAACTGGCTTTTCTTTTTATCACCATTAATTGGTGGCATCCTCTCTACAAAATCAAATAAGGACAAATTAAATGAAGCTTTCAAAATGTGCTTGTAACTCCAAATACTGAAGAATTTATCCCCTTGTGGTCACGTGAAGTGTTAAAATGAAACTCCACATTTCCTGAGTAACATTTTAAGCACATATAACTGATGTTTATTTATAATTCCAATTAGCATTGCTTGTCTATGTTCACTGATAGGTTCAAGGAACTGCTGAAAGTAAGCTGTAAAAATCCACTGTATGCTATTCACTCAGCACCAAACAACAGACATAACAGGAAACAAAGCTAGTGGCGTATTTAGGAGCCAAGGAACCAGATATTTCCTTTGGGAGATGGTGAAGAAGGAATCCTGAAACTACCCGCCATACAAAGGCCAGTCATCAGGAGAAAGAGTGAACAGTCGGAACTATTTTTCACTGGTGAATTAATGTTCAGTTGGTTTCAGGATCACAACTTAGAACATCACAGCATGAGATATAATGTTTTTTTTTTTAAATAAGAAAAACTATTGCATGAAATAAATCCTGTTTGTTGAGTTATTTTAGGCCTGTGCAGACAGGCTCTCTGTAAGTTTTTTTTTTTTTTTAAGCCATTTGAAAGTGACAAAGCAGCGTGTCAGAGTAGTGTTAGCTTACACTATAAACACATGACAGCTTATTTTAGCCAGCCTCCCTCACACACTCCTCTTCTGGCCCACGTCCTACAGAGCATGGAGCGGCCCTTCCTCCAATATGAATCTGATATGTGAGATTTAGTTTAAAAGTCTGTCGGGATTTCTCGTGGGGGATTTTTGGCTGTGACACATGAGCACATGAATAAATGTGCTACTTTTTGGTTTCAGAGTGATCCATCAGCGGGTTATTCTCCCCTACACTCACACGTCTCGGCTGACTCCAGCCTTCAGGCAGTCTGAGTAAGTCATCATACAGAAGGCTGAAAAAGCACAAAGACTGCTGGGAAACTGTAAGGGAAGCTGCTCTGTGTATGTGTGCTGCTGTGGTGGTGGTGGAGGAGGTGTGGGGTGCTTTTAATCTCTACTCTCTAATGGACTTCACTTCAGATTAATCTCCAAGCCTCAAAGGAGAACACTTAATTACTCCAACGCTAACTGTAAGCACATGTTGAAATAAATGTGATCACACATTTTCGACCTAAGTAAATGGCATTCAGATGAGAGCCAGCAGCAGCAGCACATTATCCTTAATGTTTAAGCTATAGAAGAGAATGTAAATAAGAGCACATTAAAAAATCATCATGCAGATTTAGTGAAATCATTAACACCAGATAAATGGATAAATATGTCAATTCAACCTGCAGGAAAGTTTTGTTTTGGAATGAACGTGGCTTGTTGTAATGAGTTTCATTCTTGCAGCAAATTTAAATAGTTTTAATGTTTGAAATCAGTCATGTGTGACTTCATTTTACTTAGAGATCTCTCCACAAATGAGACCTTAATTCGTCTTTTTATGCAGGTTTAGTTGTATATACCGGTGAGTAAAGGCTTTTTAAACACAAAACAGTTTACTTGATTAAAGACACCCAAACTTATTTTATTTTCAAAGACTTGAATTAATAAATACATTCAAGTGGCCAAAATTGTAGATTAATGCCACTGATCATTACCTTAGAGATAAGAAACAAACAACAATAAGATTAAGTCTTCTTAAATATTATGGAATAAGTAAAAGAAGAAAACTCACCTGCACCTCTGGAGAAGCTGAAGAAAGCTCAATGGAGTCTCCAAAAGCAGCCATGGAAAGACGGACCAGGTTTCGAAGGATCTGCCGGTGAGCTGCATCACGTGCTCCATGTCCATCCGAGGTCTTTGGCCTCCTGAGAGTTGCCACAGATGCTGATGAATATTGTGAAACCGTTTCCTCTCCTTCAGAGTTCTTCGGCCTCTTTAAGGTGCTGGAATGTGAGACTGAGGAAGAGGATGAAGTGTTTCTGGATTTGTGAAGAGTCCGGTATGATGTTGCTGGAGATGAAGGTAAGGTTCCATCAAGTTCAATGTTTCCAGGTTTCCTAAGTGTTCTGCAGTGATGGGTGTTGGGCTGAGTGACATCCTCTTCTAGATAGCCTTGGGAATGGAAGCTTGCATTCATAACTGATGGCATTAAGCTATAGTGACTCTCAATCTGCTGATCATCTGAGGCTGGAGGTGGAGTTAGTGGCTGGGCTTCACCATCGTCCTCAGGGAGGTCTTCCTTTCTTCCTCGGATTACGGGAATTAACTGGATGTCAGATTTTCTGATGTTCTTCTGTGGGCGCCGAGGATGGCGGGTGTAGGTCGATTCAGCCTGTCTGCAGTTGTAGGCCCGGTTGTCCCTTTTCTCAGGGCGGCAAAATGTTGTCACCAAAGCGATGGCCAATAGAAGAAGCAGGCATGTAGCACCGAGGCAGATTGCCATCATCATAGTGAAGCTGAGCTGTCCACGGTTTCCAGGTGATGAGTTCTTTAGATGGTCCTTGAGGTTTATGAAAGTCACCTCCAGAGTTGCCTTAGTAGCCAACCTCGGAGTGCCCATGTCAGAAACAGTGATGTCCACCTTAAAGGTTTTCCCAATGAGCTCGGTAGCATTAGTGGTATTAACAAACAGCTGGCCTGAGGTGTTATTCAGCCAAAAGAGCTCAGACGGGTTTCCATCAGTAATGAGGTACTGGAGTTTCCCATTGAGTCCCGTGTCCTGGTCTTCTGCTTTGATTGTTGATGCGAGAAATCCAAGCCCCTCTCTGACTGAGTGATCAGTTGCCACATTGGTGGCTTCCTCTTTGATGGCATTCCCCAACTCTGTCACAATCTCACCTCTGTATGCATCAACAGGTACACTGAGAGATGCTACACCTTTTCTTGGTTTTGGCTCCTTGATGACCGGGAAGTTGTCATTTACATCTTCTATGTCAATATGTACTCTAGCTGTGCTTGTGAGTGGTGGATGTCCATGATCAACGGCTTCCACGATGAAAGAGTAGTTCTTGAATGCCTCGTAGTCTAAAGGTTGCTGGACACTTATGACACCAGTTTTGGGGTGAATTGAGAAAGTCTGCGTTTTAGTTTCCTCAACAATGGAGTAGGAGACTTTTCCGCTGAGCTCCAGGTCTTCATCATGGGCTTCGACTTTGAGAATGTGGTAGCCTGTCATGTTGTTCTCCTTGAACGAAGCTCTGTAGATGGGGGTCGAAAATACTGGGGCATTGTCATTCTCATCCAGAACATAGACAGGTAGATGTTCGACATAAGAAAGTAAGGGGTTTCCGCTATCCCGGGCAAAGAGCGTGATATTATACTGCATAACCTTCTCACGATCCAGGGAGCCGCTGGTGACAATCATGTAGTCGTTGCCGTGCATCTTTTTAAGTCGGAAAGGGCCTGAGCCTTGTTGAATCTGTGCAGTCACATTTCCATTTCTTCCTGAATCTGCATCAGAGACCGTCACCACAGCAAGGAGAGTATCCTCTGGAGCTCCTTCCAGCACAGTTATAACCTGCGAGCTGGCTGGGGTCCAGGTCAGGCGTATCCTCGGTGCATTATCATTAATATCTATGAGTTTGACGTGCAATCTGCAGTAAGAGGGGATCGCATTTGGCCCATGATCGCTGGCCTGTACAATTACTTCGTAAGAAGACTGGGCCTCGTAATCCAATGGTGCCCTGATACTCACTTCTCCCGTTTGTGGGTCCACATAGAAGAGTCTTTGAACTTCTAGATGTGTGTGCTTACTAAATGAGTACTCAACCTCCCCATTGGCTCCCTGGTCTGGATCAATGGCCTTGAGCTTGATCACAGTAGTCCCGAGTGCTGTGTCCTCTGGTAATGACACAGTTGGATTGCTGTCCTCAAATGTGGGGCTGTTATCATTTGAGTCCTGAATACTAACACGGACTAATGTGCTCCCAGATCTGGGTGGATTCCCTTTATCCCACGCCACAAGGGTAAGATCAAAGGAAGCCTGAATTTCCCTGTCTAATTCTTTGACAACCACCAGCTCTGCCTGTTTCGTCCCACCAGGACCAACTGTCACATCGAGATCAAAGTGCTGGTTGACAGACAGTGAGTAGGTCTGGAGGCTGTTGGAACCTGCATCAGGATCCACTGCCCAGTCCAATGGGATTCGCTTCCCAAGGCTAGCAGTTTCTGAGATCTCCACTTCTTGCAAAGTATTAGGGAAGCTGGGACTGTGGTCATTTAAGTCCATTACTTTCACGTGAACCCGCAGGCACTTCACAGCACCTCGTTTCCTGTAGAGGACACTAAACGCCACCTCACACAGGTCAGTCCCTCGGCACAACTCCTCCCTGTCCAATCGGCCCTGGGTGGAGACAACCCCATCTCGAGTGGTGACAGAAAAAGGAAGGGCTTTTCCCTGCTCCACCACCTGGAAATCCTCCAGAGATCCGCCTTCGTCCCTCTGCCGCAGGTCATCCGCCAGACAGCCGACCCGGGTTCCCGCCGGCTGCTCCTCCGAAACCTGGTACTGAATAGTTGTTGATGAGCAATGTGAGGAGAGGGTCTTGGAGCAAAGACTCGCAACGAGAAGCAGAGCGAGCAGCATGATGATATAAAGTAATAGTTAGCTGCTGTCTAAAAAAACGTTTGTTTTTTTCTGTGAAAGACTAATTAAACAGACATCTCTAAGAATCCATGCGCTGACCTGTAAAGAAACAAATAAGAGATATTTTAAAATCGAAAGACTGTTAAGTGAAATTATTTTGTGACTCTCTCTGCTGTCAGATAAAATGATAAAATTCACATTTCTCCCAAACTAACCACCACGACCAAGTCAACAAAGTTAAGAAAAACTGATGGTTTTCAAACACAAATACCTAGAAAAAAAAACTCCAACGTGGTCAGGATACAATTATAGAAGCCTACAATTAAGATATCATCCTCTCTTTTCTTCCCTCACGTCTGCCTGCTGTTGTTACTCACACATACAGCTGCTGGCTTCCAGCCTCTCACTTCATCCTCCTTGACTCTGTAAAGTTTGGTTCCAACTGAGAAAGCTTGGACGTGGGTTTCCACATGCTAGAAGGGCACCAGCCAATCCAAGAGCAGGAGGAGGGTCATATGTAAATGACTCCAGACTGAACACAAAAGAGACGCTCTCCCCTGTACCGAGCAAACTCAGCTCAACTCTGGAGTGCCTTCAGAGAAATATGACACTGCCTCTCTGTCACTTACCCCCCCATTGGTCTGCATTTCATCACAACCTGCATTGTGGGACCTTAAATCACTTGGAAATTTTGTTGTATACCAGTGGGAAGATAACTGGCTGCAGGATATATACCCGAGCTTCATCACAGTGATCTATATCTGACACAAGAATACAAACACAGATAAACCATAACACACAGGCTTATTGTTCATGCTATTAAAAGTGTATTATTACTGCACAGTCTGCCTGAACACAGTGATGACTTTCCCCCTCTTTGAACAGTAGTCTTTGTTTTATGTATTTGGAAATATGCAACATTGTTTTATTACCTCCTGGAAAAGCAATCCTTGAAGAGTTCGCCAGCTATGAAGTAAATGCTCAAAATCCAGAAGCCTGTCCTTAATGTGACAAACCCACATTCCAGCCTTCTCCCAAATATAATTACAGAGAGTTTCATCTTCAACCACACTGCCACATGAGGTCAAAACATTTCCAGAAAGCCATGGCAAACACATTTCGCTCATTCCTTTGCACTTAAAGGTTTGTTTATCACTGAGAGGAGTTGAATGCTTTGAAAAAAAGTCAGTTCATGTCAATTTAGAATTGAATTTTATTTAGTTCAGAATTTAAAGTAAAAAGAGTAGAATAGTCTTGTAGTTTAATGTTTTTCCAGCATGTCCTCAGAATATCCTGCAGACACACAGAATTATGCCAAGGAAGGTTCAAGCATATCGCTTTCCTTTGGCTCAGACAGAGGGGGACTATTCGAAGCCTAAAACCATCAGTGCTGTCACCTGCCAGTGAAAGACTGAGAGGAAGATGGATGACTGATGAAATCAAAGAAATGCAAGACGACAGAGCTGAGAGTCCTGTTCAGAAACATATATCAGAGATAATTTATGGAACTCATAGTCACACATAGGATCCACAGATTAGTTTGCCCGAAATGAAAGCAAAGCACAAAGCAACTGACTTTTTTTTAAATAAAGTTGTAACTAAAGTGTAAAAGCAAAACATGTAATTTGCTGAACAGCCAACAACATGAGTGATTTTAAAAAGCTGAAAGTAATCAGCAGTGATGTGAAATCTCCAAACAACCGTCCAGTTCACTGACATCATAAGGAGATCATTTCATTTCAGATTCAGTTCTGTTTAATTTATATAGTACCAAATCACAACAAGAGTTATCTCAGGGTGTTTTATTTTGAAAGGTAAAGAAGCTACAATAATTACAAATCATTAGATGCACTTTGGAAAAAAATAGTTCTGTGGTTTAGAGTGTTTACTCAAAGGATCAGATTACTTTCTCCATCAGTTCTTATTGGGGTTAAGAACTCAGGTGAAACTGAATGAAGTGATAGCAGAAACTGCGGGCTCACTTTGAAATGTAAGCATCCTGTGGTCCTTGCTGCAAAATTAAATTAAAAGGCACAAAACTGACTTCAAAATGTGATTTAAAGAAATCATTAGCGATAGTGAAAGGGACACAAACATCAGGTTCCAGAATAGCAAGACAGTACTGGAGAACAAAATATCTGAATTACGCCTAAATATTAAAAAAACAGAATAAATCCTAAATAAAACATTTAAGTGTAATTTAACCCTCAGTGATGGAGGTCGTCTGTTCAGGCGACACAAACCTGAGCAGGAGTTCAGCCAGGCAGGGCAGAGGTCAGCTGGTCAGATGTGGTTATCTCCTAAACAAACAACATCACCCGCCTGTCTGCTATGTGTGTGTGTGAGAGAGAGTGAGAGAGAGAGCAAGACCACATTCCCTCTTGAAGCTGCAGATGAGAATGTTTTCGCAGACACACACAGGCATATGTCTGCTTCCAATTAATCTACCACCTGTATGGAAGAATATTTATGTGTGTGTGTGTGAGGACGGGGTTAAGTAGTTCTATACCATCAGTCTTCCTGTGTATACTCAGTTTTGTACTCGTAGTTGAAGTTGGTTCTTATTAGTGTTTTTCTTTTGGTGTTCCTACGTTCACTTTCATTCATTTTTGATGTTGAAGATGTAGATAAAAATGTCGCTCTTGGGTTGGGTTGAAAATAAAAAAACAAAACCCCAGACCCTCCACTCTAACGTTTAATGATTGACATTATTTTTAGTCCCAAAGATGAAGCTTGGGGTCCTGAGGATGGCAAAATGAGTTAACAACAAACTAAACTTCAAGAAAGAGGTGCACATCAATGATAGTGTGAGGGTGCTCTCTGAGAAGAGAGACAAAATGAACACAAACAGATTAAAATACATGCAACAGACAGAACAGCTGCTGAGACAAGCAAGAGGGACTTAAAGGTCCATAAATGAGCAAAAAGAGAAGCAAAGCTAGAAGCAGATGCAGGACACACTAAAACAGATGCAAAAGAAAAAAAAAACAATTGTAATGATAAGACCAGAACTCATGTAAATCCAAACAGACAGAGGGAAACCAGACAAAAAGATACAAAATTAACAAAATTAGATGCAGAAACAGTGGAAACTGAGGAGAAACGACTGATAAGGCACAGCAAATAACATGTACGGTTAACATTTACACAAAAACGATCCAGAACTAAGATCAGATAGGCTGATGGAGGTCATTCTGTTTTCTTCACTGTTAATCCAGTGCACTGTTGGGTGGGGCTGCCGGAGCCTGGAAAGGTGTGGCAAACCTGGACAGGTCCTCCTGTCCATCACAGACTGAAACGGACTAAAATGAAATGCAAAACGCAAAATGCTCTTCAGTGGGGCAGACAGACACACAATGAACAAAATTTACAGTAGGGGAGACCGGGGATAGTTGTAACATTTTTGACATTTCTGTCTGTAAATTGAAGCTCTTTTAAGGTAGTGGATTCAAAATGTAATGCAAAGTATTTACATGTCTCTGCTATTAAATAGTGCAGCTATTTTCTCTGCAGCACAATTACCCATTGCATGGTATGGTCTCAAACACGAAGAGTGAAATGTTACAATTAACCCCATAGTCTGGGTTAGTTGTAACATATCCTGGGGTAAATGTAACACAATGAAATAAGGGTACTAACAAAACATTAACATGTAATCTTTGTTTATTCAACACATGAATGCACTTACATCCATTTATGTAGCTATGTGTGTGACAGAATGCAGAAATCTAGCTTTTGAACATATTCCAACCCCCCAAAAAAGACAAATTATGGAATTTTCTGCAACTGAATATTTCATTAATTTTGGTTGGTCTTCCTTGAGTTTGGCCTCATTGGCTCAGTGGGCATTATAACCTACAACTCTTGCACCAATTTTGAACATAACAATGAAGCTGAAAAAATGTAGTTGTTCACCAGCATCGCAATTCCATTACTTTTTATCATGGCTTACCTTGGTGTGGTTTGCAAAGTGCTTCAGAAAGATGAGGAAATCTGTTTCTTGCACCCATCCTGATTTATTTCCACTACCAGTACTTCCTACTGGTCCATCTCTGACACAGATGGTCTGCATAATGTATGTGTGGGAACACAAACAGTGGAGGAATTGTGTTGCCAATGGCATTAACCACATATACAAAAGCGACCAGTGAACCTCTCTCTGCTGATGTCGTTGCCCCAACTTGTTTAATATAAGTTAAAGTAATAGTGTGGTAAGTTACAACTGACCCAGACTCCTATAGCCATGAACTAGCTAACATTACAGCCAACGGCTAAAACATTAGCACTAAAGACCTACACAGAATATATCCCCATAGACATACAAATAACATAATTAAGTTTGATGAGTTTAACTGCAAAGCAGATAATGCTATTAGAAATTGAAATAAAGTAGAAAAACTTACTTTTTGGCATACAAATTACTTTTTTTCTGTTAAATTGTCTGTGTTTGACAAAATGTGCTGATTTTTCACATGTGATAGCAGAACTGAATTGGGCATGCACAGGATGAGTCACATCATTTGAAACTTAGCCCTGATTGGAGAAATTGGAAGTGTTACAACTGACCCACGTTACAACTATCCCCGGTCTCCCCTACAACCACGAAAAAACCGACTGAAACATTCTGTCTTCAGGTAAATTAATTTATTAAGTTTGTTCTTTGAGTAAATTGGCAGAAAATAAACAGAAAACAGAATTTTGTATGAAGCAAAAATGATCACAAAGGCTAAAAAAAACAGCATTCAAGTCTCCAAGTGCAAACCAGCAAATAGATGCAAAATATCCACAGAGAGACTCCAACTGTGCAGAATCCACAAGCAGAACTGATTCTGCTGCAAAAGCTTTGTGGCTGGAAACGGGACAGAGTTGGTCCCCAAACGATATGTAAAGGTAAAAGGCAGAAGGTGAGAGGAAACTCAAGCTCATTGTTGGTTGTCATTAAGTGGTAGAAGCTTCACCTGACTTTGTGTGTGTGTGTTTTTTTTGATTGTGTGTGTGTTGTGTGTGTGTGTGTGTTTGTGTGCGTGCGTGTCGTGCGTGGTGTGTGTGTGTTGTGTGACAAACAGCAAACTACGAGCTAGTCTGTAGATCGTTTGTGTGTCGTGTGTGTGTGTGTGTGTGTGGTGTGGTGGTGGTGGGTGTGCGTGGTTGTCGATGTGTTAACTGTGCATCTGCTGAGCGCTGACGTTGTTGCTAGATAAGGAGTTCGGGAGTGCGATGCGGAGTGAGACAAATGTAGTTCCTAGTGATACTCCGTCACGTCGTCTGGCTGAAGTCGACACAAATGTATGGGGCCTGTGTTCTGTTGTGCTGGTAGGTGCTGTGATGCTGTGCTAGATAACGGAGTGGGAGTACCGACTTGGACTGCGTGTGTGTGTGTTGTGTGTGCGTGCGTGGTGCTGTGTGTGTGTAGTGATAAATAAACACATCCATCCATCCATTCGCTTCCGCTTATCCTTTTCAGGGTCGCGGGGGGCGCTGGAGCCTATCCCAGCTGTCATAGGGCGAAAGGCGGGGTACACCCTGGACAGGTCGCCAGTCTGTCGCAGGGCCAACACACAGGGACAGACAACCATTCACACTCGCATGGGAGGGGGTTGGTGCACTGAAACAAACCAAAGAAAAACTTTTAAAATTTAAAAAGCCACCATGGTCACACCAAATTTGGGTTTTACTTTATATTTTTAACCTTTAAGTCTCAGTTGGAGCGGTTAAGCTGCTCCTATTGTCCTATCCTTTTGTTTGTGTCCTGTGGAGGACGGACTAATCATTTCAAGGCTGATGGAAGCCACAGTTCAGACTCTCTATATGTTGCCTTTGTCTTTATTAGTCTGATAACTCTGTTCACCTTCATGTTCTTTTCTTGGAACCTGTCCTGGAAACCAGCCTGCTTGAATGTGGCCATGCCTCCGTAAGCGCCATCAGCCACTCTCTCCTGCCTTGGTCAGCTTCTCTGTTCTCTGCAGAGGAAACGGCTCAGCTGCTTCCCACTCTCCACCTGTGAACTTCTATTCACCTTGGGGGTTTTTTTTTGCCAGGCCAGTACTCCTCCTAGACTCCAATCCTCACTCCTGGCAAGTAAGACTTTTGCCTTTGATCACAAACAACATGCAAAAAACCAACCAACCCCTTCGTGACCATTTGGAAGCTTTTACTCCAGTAGTGCTCCTGGTCCAGCTACTTTGGAGAACTGGTTTTATACAAAGACTTTTGAGTTTCAAACATTTCAAACTGCCGACAGTCTGTTATCTGAGTCTGTGTTTAGCTTAATTATGAAAATTGTAATAGAAGCTGAAATATCCTCACCTAAAGATGATTAGTGTTATTGAACTGCTTTGGTCAGAGTTCCTTATTCTGTCTTTCCATTGAAACCATGTTCAGATGACACTTTAATCAGAGGCTTATCCTAAATCAATCTGCAGCCATTGTTCACCTGTTACACTCATGCCCGTGCCTCAGTAACAGAACATTGCTGACTAAGCAGTCCTGCAATTGTGGCAAACGTGGCATCAGACCAACACGACAGAGTCAGGAGTCAGACTGTTATTCTAATCACAGAGAGGGTTTCTCAGAGTCAGATCATGGCTATACTTATAGCAGAAATCAGAGAAGAGAACTGAGGGATAGGAAAGGAACTTCATCCTAATAACACAGTCTGCTAAAGAAAGGAGCAAAGACTGACTGTTTGCTAGCTGAAGCAGCTTTAAGGTGACGAGGATGTCTTTAGTGAAAAAGCATCATCATGAGTTGATTTTGAAACAAAATCAAATCAAAGAAAAAAATCTTTTAAAAATATGGTTCATGTTCTAGAAACCAGTCTGAGCTTTGAGACACGGAGCTTTGTTATCCTACTGAAGACACTGCACTGAGGTCATAAAAGATGGGCGTGGTCAGCAGCAGCACTCGGGCATGCTGTGGAGCAGCAGCCTGTACACTGACACAGGCATGATGGCTCCATGTTTTAAACGCCGAGCTGACCATCTGAGACTCATTAGACCACAAAACGTTTTTGTGAGTCTGTGTGAGCTGTAGCCTCAGTTTCCTGTTCTTAGCTGACAGCAGTGGCACCCGGTGTGGTCTTCTGCTACTGTTGTCATCAGCTTGAGGGTTCAGAGATGCTCTTCTACAGACCTCAGTTGTAACAAGTGCTATTTGAGTTTCTGTTGCCTTCCTATCAACTTGACACGGTCGGACCTCTGCCATCCACAAAGCATTTGTACTCTGATATTTGTATTAACGAGAAGCCGAACAGGTGTACCTAATGAAGTGGCCATTAAATGCAAACCGTATGACCTGTGATGCCTGGTGTCCACATGCTGTGGTCGGTGTTTAAGTGAAGCCACGTTACCTTTTCTGGTTAAAATGCTGCTGCCAAAGTAAAACACTTCCTGTCTGAGATTAGCCCAGAAACAAGTGGTCTGCAGCTGCATCTCACACACACACACTTTTTTTTTGAAGGTGGTGTGACACTCGACTGCACTCTAAAACATAGATCCTGCTGTGTGTGGCCAACGCGTCAGACTGCAGGGGAAGGCGAGAAGAAACCTTGCTGAGCTTTTTATTCTGTGCTGATCATCTTTCTGATCTGAACCCTGTGTCTCCTTCATCACTGCTGAAACCACAAAAGAAGAACTTCATGAACATTTTCCAGACCATGGAGGCTGATTTTCATCGGTAGCTCACCAGCTTCAAAGACCCAGATGCAGCAGGCAGGCAGGAAACACATGTGGAGACTTCTCTTTTAACCCGTTCTTGCACAGTCTCATGAATCTTTCATTCCATTGGGTTTTTTCTGGATGTAAACTCAGTGGTGTTGGTCCACTCTATGCTGGGCTGTTTGCTTCGTGTGTAATTCCTCACTTTCCTCCTTTTGTTTCCAGTATTCTTTAGCGTTTCCTGTTAACATTCACTGCTGCTGTGACTTCAACACTAAGTGGGTTTGTTTGGGTCAAAATAAAGAAAGCGGGTAATTTCTATTGTTCTGCGTTCTTGAATGTGAGTTACACATTTAGTTTCCTGCAGTGAGAAGCAGATTAAAAATGCCCAAAGCTGACTCTTGGTCTTGGCAGTTAAATCAGCAAAATTCAGTCTCAGCAAAAATAACTATGAAGCATTTTTATCATCATCTGTTACTGCTGCAGGTCTACACGTGACTCTTTAATGTGAACGCTCAGGAAATGTTTGGATGTGAAATGCTGCCATCTTGTGGGAAAACACAAAAGCACACATAAAAGCTGCAGTGCCCCGTGTTCAGAGATGATCACATGTCCAAAGCGAGTCCCAAAGAGCTTCTGAACCGGTCAACAACGGTTGACCTGGTGACCCGTAAATGTTTGGTGTGGCAGAGTTCACGAGGTTAGAGGAAGCCCAATGACAGTCAGTGCGTGCTGTTCATCTAATAGATCTTTGCCGCTTTGAGGTGTGTCTCCTGCTGCAGTCTTAATTCTTCTCCACAATGATGCAAAGCAGAGGCCGAATGGCGGCCTGCATCTCCTTCATCTGGGAGGAGCCAATTCACTGTAGAGGACCAACTCCTGTAGCAACCTTACCTCTACCTTACCTCTAACAGAAACATCCTCTGAACTTTGTTTTAGTCATCGTGAACTAGGGCTGTGCGATATGACCAAAATCTCATATCCCGATATAAAACACCTATCGTCCGATAACGATATGAATCACAAAAATTTAACATTATCTGTAAATTCTGTGAATCTCGGGCAGCTGAAGTGTTTCCAGCTGGCATCGTGTGTCTGGTGTCGAGTGTTTTACCGATGCATGAAACTACACATTTTTAGACATAAGTTGTAACGGCTCGCCGTTTTCTTTGCGAGTATTTATTACACAGCATGTGCTGCGGGGAAAAGCCTGTTCTAATGTTTGAGTCTAAGGTTTATTTTTTAGCACCTGACGGCTCTTTTTTGCTTGTCATTGGTAAATACTCTGCATACTCTTTCACGTGATTCAGTTTATTTTGAAAAGTCTCAACAGGATCTTGAGCTTTATTGTGAAAGGTTTATGTGGAAAATAAACAAGCGGACACGTGATGGCTAACAACAATGCATAAAAACAGGCGCTTGTCCATCCATAGTCTGGTTATAAGAGAAAGAGAGAACTTTAAGAAATTAATATAGCCACTACAGTGACCATCAAAACGATGAAAAAAAATATTGCCATAAACAGTTTATTTTGAAACACCACGAAACAAACGATAGCATTAAATGAAACATTAGTCGTTTTTATATCATCATCCGATATATATCGTTATATCGAACAGCCCTATCGTTAACCTTTTTTTCTGAGGTAATTGATTTTACTGCACCAGAAAAGCATGAATAGCTTATGTGATAAAGTTTATTTAAAACTGTGTTGAATCAATCAAATGTATAACAGCAACATTTCTCTGTGATCATCACACAAGAAAAATTTGAACTCTGATTTACATGAATCAAAGAAAGTATGAATAAGGCACTTAGAAACAACAAACAGTTAAAAAAAAAAAAAAACCCATAGTGATAACAACAATAATAATACTAATAATAAGGTCATTCACAATAACTGAACAGTCAAAACTGGCTCCCAGTTAAAATAACACATGTGACATTATCCCAAAAAAGAAAAAAAGCACAGAATGTTTAAAAATAAGAAATAAATTAGACAAATGTTAGCAGGTTTTTAGACAGTAGCACTAAAATTCAGTGAGCTGCAACATCATTTTGTTCCAAGTTTTGTCATGAGGACCGCTGACTGCTGAATTATGAAGAAATCATAAACAGACAGCCATCCCCTCCATATTAAAGTATTTATTATTATTATTACAGGAGCAAGAGCTCAAGTGGTTATTCTTTATGTTAATGGTGACAGGTTTAGTTCCTCAGGACACATGAAACCAGTCAGACCTTTGGGGACTGACTGAGGTGCAGGACTGGTTGAATAACTGAAGGTTGAGATTTAGACTCAAGTGGAGCTTAAAGCAAAACTAAAGAGATTGGTTTCTATTATTTCATTAAGAGTATTCATGTGATTTATTTCAGCATATTTATGCATCTCTGTCATCCATGTTTTAATCTATTTTCCTTCATGTGAGCAGATCATTTCATACCCGTCTAATAATAACGTCATATTTCGACATAAAGGCTTCGCTTTTTCCTAATTAGTTTTTCTGTTACTGCAGGAGATGAAAACTATAAAAAGTTGATGAACAACAGGAACTTCAGTAGCTTTTCCAGCAATTAAAAGTCGTTTTAATAAAATTTCAGCTCCTGTAAAATCGTTCTCAATGGTTAAAAAGCACGATAAGAGGTCCAGCAGATACAGTGACGCAGTTTGTGTTCATACAGAGTGAAAGAAGAGCAGCTTGGATGCATCTTAACGTGGAGAAAACCTGTAATTTCACTAAAGAGAATGTTTCAGTGCATCACTGCGCCTGGTTTCGTACATTGCTGCAGGTGCTCATGTTCTGTGCGTTTCATCCCATAAAACCTGTTTTTGTTGTCTTTTCTTCTGATTATTATCCCACATCTCCCCTTCCTCATTGGTAAAAACTTTTTTCATTTCCCAGTTTTAAAACCATGAGGCTCCAGCTGACAGCTCAGTCTGAGTGGATGGAGAGCGTGACTTTGAGGCAGCCCAGCTCTTTGCCCTGACTGCCGAGGACCCCCTGAACCCGGTAGTCCCCGTTAGTCAGCCAGTAGGGCAGATCGATGTTGGGCAGGTAGAAGATTGACTGTGGCAACGTGTATGAACCCTGAGAACAGAGAGGGAGAGTCATGCTGTTTCATCATGTTTAAAGGTCACAGAGCTCAGGGCTCATGTTTCATCCCTAAATGATTTTCTACATGTTTCAATCTCAGCTACTGAGAAGTGATCTGATTTGAAATCAAAGACTTACAGCTTTGAAGGGGCAGTGGCAGGGTAGGCCGTAGGTGTGCAGCGGTTCGGGACAGTCCTGACCGGGCGGGATCAGCTGGCTCAGGATATCGCAGGCGTCCTTATAGTGACAACTGCCCACCTCATCCAGACAGGGCACCTTCACCCAGAAACCTGCCACCTCCTTCTCCAGAGTTACATTTAGCTAAAGATTGAGAGGAGACAGAGAAACAGCAGCACGCGTGTTAAAAATGCTGCAGCGTCACCAGCGCCGTGCCGCAACCTTAATCCTGTTGAGAGGAAACGGTGATACCCGACATACTTCCATATGCCTTTATCATGGCTAATGTGCAAGTGCTGGGTGTTTGGTTTTTAACTTAAATCTACAAATCTGCAGGAAGCTTCAGTTTATTGCCTCAGTATGTGCAGAGTTTTGAAACTCCAGTTTCCTCAGCTCTCCACATAGCAGGTTCCTTCATCAGCGTGAACAAGACGCAACAACAGCCACATAAGCATGTCAGAATTATTTTCAATTTTACAAAAAGCATCATAAAAATAAGATAAAATAAAGAAAAACATCAGCAGGTTGAAGCAAACGTAAAAACTAAAAGCGGCCAAACATGATGCAGTGACCTTTGATTTGGTGAAGGTAGACTAGAACTCCTCATCACCACAATCGCCTCAGGTTAATTACCCACTGCAGCAAATCCAAGAACTCTAAAAGAAATTTGAGGAGACCTTGAAGAGGATCATAATCAGAGTTTTACAGTTCACGCTTATCACTGCACATGTGACAAAGAACAAGTTCTGCTGAGTGATAAAGTTTCTTTTCCCGTTTCAGACGCATGATTGCCGCTTTACAGCTGAAAGGAAAAAAAAAAAAAGGAAAAAAAAACCTCCAAGTGCCTCTCACATCCTTAAACACACCATCACCACTACATCATGTTGCACTACTCATTACATTACCTTCTAGCTGCTCTGTAATAAACTGTGACATAATCACCAAAAAAACAAAAAAAACCCAATAAAAACCTGAGGCCCCACACGACACAAATTCCCATCCTAATAAGGACACACACACACCATCTTAGTTTTCAAGTATGAACATGGAGCAAAGATGAAAAACAGCAGGCTTCAAAGCAATCGTCATGGCGATTCTACTTTAGAAACAGACTGCTCACACTGTAACAGGATCACTGTTATCTGCTGAAGATCAGGTGTAGCTGTGGGTTGTCTTTGTGTTAGAACGGTGTGTGTCTGCGTCAGCAGTATAATCCAGATAATTCACAGTTTGAATTTTACCATCACGCTCTTGTCCTTTCATGTGATAAAAATAAAAGTAATGTCCACCATCGTCGTCCTCCCTGCACACAAACTGAAATCAGCTGATCGTAGCGACGTATGCATGAAGAAAACAACGTGGTTGGTGGTGTTTTGTCTCTCTCTTGGTTTGCAGTGCAGGTAAAGAACTTTGGTCACCCAAGTAACCACATAATTGTAACTGTGTGATGCGATTACTGACTTTAGTCCAGTAGCTCATTATATTACTGTGATCCTGAAGAATGTAATGTGTCACTGTGTATCAATCATACACTGCAGTTTTTAATATTGCTGTTAAACATTAGAATATGGCTGTGTCTAGTTTGCAGAATGATTTAAATTTAAAAATCTTAAACCTGTAAAAATATATGACAGCCCTGATCCGGGGGGTGTCCGTGTGTAGGCCTCACAGGAGGCAACTGGTTGTCTATTTAGTTATTTATTTGGTTAATATGTGTACAAATAAACCGATTGAGGAATGAAAGAAAAGAAAACTGAATAAAATCCAATAAAACCTGACTGCTCTGCACCATCAGGTGTTTCTTCTAAATGCTTTATATATCTTGGCAAACCGGACAGTATTTTTATTCCTCTGTATCAAACACAGATTGGAAACAGGAAGTGGTTTTCGTGCGTGCTTCTAAGTAAAGTTGAAATATATAAAGAGATAATACCTTTCTAATATTTCTGTCTCCTCATTCTGATGACGTTAGCTCATTCATCTCTCTTCTAGACCATTTCCAGTTCTTTATTTGGAGCATGTGACCATGCTTCACAGACAAGCTTCTGTTTTCAGTGTACGATGTAACCCAAACAACATTCTTAGTTTAATTTCATTTTCCAAGATTAAAGACTAATCAACTGCTTCAAGTCTACACCACAAGTTGCACACACATTCTGTAGATATATACATGAAAACTTGATGTTTTTTAATTTTGTTTAAAAGTTTTTCTTATTTCTCTTGTTATTTCAGTTATTTTTGAATGTTCAAAATAAATTCTATCTAACAAGTAGGGATGGGTATCGTTTAGGTTTTATCCGATACCAGTACCAAACTGGTACTTTTGAAACGGTGCTTAAAGAATGGAGAACACAAAATTGGTCCAAAAACCTCTCATGTTCAGCTGTTTTTTTGTAAAAAGATAACAATGTTAGCCTTTTCTGCAGCTATAGGGCTATATGGTATCACTCTTGGCTGGAAGCAGTGCTTAAACAATGGAAAAAACACAAACTTTGTCCAAAAACCTCTCATGTTTAGCTGTTTTCCACTTTTTCTTTGGTCATTTTAGCCTTTTTGGCCAGGGTGAAGGGAGTATCTGCCATCAAACAAGAAGACAGCCGCATGTAACTACGAATGTGTTTGCTAGTTCACCTTACATGCATTAATGTAATAACGTGGTTAGCCTACTCAACGTAAATTACACACGAACAACATTAAGCTACTCACGCAGAGAAGAACGGCTGCTGCCATCATCATTTCTGCTACACTGGCAGGGCTAGGGGCCAGGACTCTCCTCTTCGGGTTTTTGGGGGATGTTGCTAACTCCGGGTCCGATAACAGGCACCACACCCGCAGTAGATGTGCTCGGTGTGAGGTCTTCGCAGCAAGCTATCAAATACGGCGCATTTCTCGGCTTTTAAAAAAACGCTATGCGTCGCCAGGTGTTTCATCAGATTCGAGGTGTTACCTCCTTTGCACAGTATCAGCTTAAAGCACTTGTTGCAGGCTGCTGAGTTTGCATCTTTTGCTTGAAGTACAGCCAGACTTTGACCGCTTCGCCTTGGGCATTTTTAATCTGTAGCTCTGCTCTAAAAGAACGTACTACCTGGGCCCGCCTACTACGCTTGCAAAGGTAAAATGATTGGCTGGAATCCAAAGTGTATGACATCTCAGGAAAAAAAAAAAATAAAGCACCGAAATGTGCGCTGCTTTTCGGTCTGGTTACTACCGTTTATGTCAGAACCGGTGCCATACCGGTACCCATCCCTACTCACAAGTGACTAAAACCAAGACCCTTTCACTCCACATAAACTTTAACTGTCAAAGTGAAAGTACACGTGGGCAATGAAACAATAAAACGAGGAGCTGTTTCCTCAGGGCCGAGGTCTAACTAAACTCAATAACTGTACTCGATTTAGGGATAGGCACACTTCATTGGGACTTTGTAGGATTCTGACAGACAGTTTGGAACATCTAAACCTGAAAGCTGCTTTTTAGCTCGCATGAAGCACATGAGGATCAGCGGCAGATCCAGACAAGACGACTTTTTGCTTTGCCAAATAATAAGAATATTATACCAGACAGTTAAACCACTGTTGAGTAACCTTGTGCCTGTTACTTAAGTTAACCCTGTGGAGGATGACACTGCTATAAACTAGTCAAGTATTGAAATGTTAGGAAAAACCTAACTAAAGGAATAAAGAGAAAGAATTTTGTCCATTTCCATCAGCTCTAAGTTATTCAACCCACTCATTAATTAAAATCCATCAAGTTATTCACCTCAGTCAAGCATCAACAAAATATCTTCTATTTTGCCTACAAAATACAAAGAGTTATAAGTAGAGCTGGGCGATAGAACGATAACGAATATGTATTGCGAAATAACTTTTTCTCGATAGAAAAATTAAACTATTGCGATAGACCTCACCGCTCTTGTCCTCTTTAAAAAAAAAAAAACAAAAGAACAGCCAATCCAAATTAAGTAGCGCAGAGCCGAACCAATCACAGCCGCAGCGTCACGTCACGTGACTTGTTACGTACAGCACAAGTGCCAAGCCGCACATGTGTATTTGTTTGGGAAGCAGCCAGCCGCCGTGCCGCCCGGGTAATGGAGGAAATGAGTGTGCCGACTAAGAAAAATCAACCGAGCGTGACCGAAGGTTACCGAAGAGAAAACAGATGATGGTTCCAATGCCGGAGAGATTGTCGAACGGAAGAGCCATAGAAGTTCCGTAGTGTGAAGGTATTTCGGCTATTTCAAGTCTGACAAAAAACAGAGTAGCGTCGCACTGTAAATTGTGCCGAAAGCAAGTCTGGAAATACAATAAAGCCGGTGCATGCTCAATCTCTGACTGGAAGCGCTAATTCGTCATTCGGCTTTTGTCAGACTAAAGTAACTGTTAAAACTGTTTGAAAAGCTCAGCTATACAACAAGGAGAGATTGAGAATTTCCTTTTAGTTCTCAGTTTATTTGATATTGACAAAAGTTAGTCAATTTTGTCTGTTCTTCTGTAAAACAAACTAAGATTTATTTTTAGAATTAATATTTTGTTTCTAAGTGGAATTGACAATTTAGTCTGTTTCGTTTGTTCTATTTTGAAACTTAAACACTTTAGCGGCTGCCTTTTGTGTAGTTTGCAATATTTGCCTTTATTTATCTGAAAAAGTCTCATGTTCCTTAAGTACATCTACCCTGTTGAACTTATTATGGGAAATAAATATTTAAATAAAAACAAGCTGCTGATTATTTCACATTTTACTTGTGAGCAACGGCACATTTAAATCTTACAAATATAGTTATTTGGCTGATATCGTGATAGATATCGTTATCACCTGAAATGAAAAAAACATATCGTGATATGAAAAAATCTCATATCGCCCAGCTCTAGTTATAAGCAATATTAGGCACAGTTTTCTGATGAGTAGGAGACTCACAGTGCACATTTTAACCTTGAGATACTCGTTTGTGTTTGACCACCTGCCCAGGGTGTAGCCCACCTCTTGCCTGATGACAGCTGACAAAGGCTCCATCTCAGCTCAACCGGTTGATCCGGTTAATTTGCCTGTGTGTGTTTGGAACTTGTGAGTATGTGAAGTGTGCTGAATGCAGCTCCCTCTAATGAAAAAAAATAAACAAAAACCATTTCAAACTGGGAGACATTTAAGCCCTTTGTTCACTGTGGCTGCGCTGAAAGGGAAGTGCTAAAACTAACAAAGTACCCTACTGCTTCCTTTAAAATCTGCTCCTTTTGATGTTCGTTATAAATGAAAAATTATTTGTGAAACTCGACTGAAAGCATCCTCATGTCACTGCCATTCATAGATAAGCGTACTCACAGACAGAGGAGCACCGAGTTCAACGGCTGTGGACCCAGAAGCGGAGGCTGTCAGATCACCTGGGATGGAGATTGGGTCTGGAGACATGGTGAGGGTCTTCAGCACAGCTGGAGCATCAGGCGGTCCGCAGTTCTTCCAGTCGAAACCCAAAACCTGCAAAATGCATAAAACTATATTTAAACCTCAGATATTTCCCATCACGGTCAGAGCGTTCCCGCATTTCCGTACTCCAGGAAAATCAACTTGTTCAGACGTGAAAGCTGAGTGACGCGGTCCAAATAGACAGCAATCATTGGATTCACGACTTTCATGTTTGTTTCTTGGATACTGTAGTGTTTTTCCTTTTCGTTTATTTATTTTTTATCTCTAATGTTTCCATTGTGGTTCCACTCTCTTCAGCTCAGTTTGTGTTTCCGGGTTTAGTTTAGAAGAGCTGTTACAGCTCGGTAGTCTCAAACCTGGACCTCGCCGAGCCCCCACACGCACGTGCAGTTTTAAGGCTCTACGACGACTCCGGCAGGTTTCACGGATGAACCGTCCACATTTAGTACGTGAGGTCCCCTAAAACAGCACAGTGGGAGCTTCGGTGTGGATAAATAAAACCCGCACAGAGGCTTTGGTACCCGGCGGGATTTGGCTCACCTGTACGTTCCTGACCTTCTTCCACCCGAAGGAGCCGCAGCTCACCTGAGCTAAAGCGGCAGCTACGAGCACC